GTATCATGCAAGAATGCGCTTACTACAGGGTGGAGTGGGGCGACTCTGTTGAAACATTCACCCAAACAGACATGGCGTTGGAACCGCTGGTGACGCTGATCAGGGAGTGGCAGCAGCGCAACGCGCACATAGCCGCATGCAAGGAACAGGAGGGGGAGGCAGCCGCGGACGCTGCCCAAACGGCGGCCACTGCAAGGACGAGGGTTTTCCCTAGTCGGTCCTTATGAGTCTGGAATAAGGACCATGTAAGGACAGCCTAAGGACGGCCTAAGGACTTTCTAAGGACTCTGTCGAGCCGCTGGGCCGCGGGATAGGGACGCGTAAGGACCGAGTAATGACCAGATAATGACCACTTAAGGAATCATTGCACTCTTTCCCTAGCGGATCAGCCAGGCCGCTCTGGATAGCAGTATTTGGCATTCCTTTGCACCTCTATATACTTATATGCTTTACATTGCAAATCTAAGTTGCCGTATGGTTATGGCATGCGCCAACGGCTGGGGATGGAAGCATGTGTGCGTGCGCAAACACAAACGCGGTGCACGTGCGCGCGCACCCAATGGCTGCACGCAACGGACAGAAATGGAGAACAAGCTCAGGTTTGCAACCATGCATGGAAGTGCACATGAAAGGAATCAACACATTTCACAATCGCAAACAACAGGAGCGCTTGTGCCGCTTGCTGGCGAGCTGGCCGCCGCCGCATAACGACTAGACATGCGTATCCAACTGCCGCCCTCAGGTGTGGCCGCACGGGACATCGCCAGAGTTCTGCAGCTAGTAGCACAGCCCCTGCGCCACGTGATCTTTGCGCACAGCGGCAGCTAGCAGCACGGTGCGCCAAGACAGCGTCGGCGCATGCCAGCTGACAATCCCTTGTTGTACTTGTGCAGACGCCGCCCGTGCAGTCGTCTCTTCTCCCTGTGATAGCAAGAGCATATATCGGCAAATGTCGGTTTGAGGGTCGCAGGATTGATGATTGTACGCAGCTAGGTTGATGCGTGTGATGCTTAGGGTGAGCGGCTGCCGCCAACTCCAGCAGATTCACCCACCCCAGCCCTTGGCTTGCATCCCCAGCTGCCTCCCATGATAAGCGAATCGTGGATTGCTCACGGCACAAACGACATGCCCCAGTCACTCACTTGTCGGGCCTGCTCTTGACCTGATGGAGGTTGGTGATGTTGATGCAGGGGTGTGGCGCCAGCTATTGATTGAGCGCTGCACAAGCCAGCACGATCCGACGGCCAAGCTCTGCAGCACCATGTGCTTCAGCACCCCTCTTGTGGGGTCGCCGAGTGTGGGGACGCCATGCGCTTCAACCAGCAGCGCAAGCGGCGCGCGGGGAGTGGATGGCATGATGGCAGGCACTGAGCGCTGCGGTGCAGGTGCAGCGCCACCACCACCTGCAGCCATGGAGAGCAGGCAGCGATTCAGATGTCCAGCATGGTCCGGCCATGGCACTTGCTGATGCGCGAGGCTCAAGATCGCAACATCACCTAACAACCCAATGCGTGTGCGCACCAAGAGATGATCCCCAGGCGGTACTCACCGATTTTGAAGCCATGTATCATGAGTACGGTATCATGCGCCTTAGCACAAAAGGCGCCCAGACGGCGAAGAGCCGTTCAGATCACTGAGCATGGTGATAGTACGGATAATACTCGACAAAACAGATGAGTCAGGTTCGGTGAAGTAATGAGAACGCTCAAACAGCGTTATGGACGAGTATCTAAGGCGCTGAGTATTGTGCATCTATGATATTCGTCTGCACCATAATGTAATGTTTGCGATTGAATCGACTCGAGTCCACGATTGCAGGGCTTGCAACCGCGTGATAAGTTGTTTTGATACAACTGCGGGTTGATATTGGGGTTTTGACGGTGCGCTCCGCTTTGAACGCTCTTCACTGAGTGAGCCGGCCACCTGGTCCTGGTGATGTCACCGTGACACCATCGAGACTGCTCTCATTGTCCGTCAAAACTGCGACCCAGCAGCTCTGCAGGGAACAGAAGCATCCCGCGAAACTGCACACGTGCATGGCGGCGGCGCAGCCAGGTCGAGTATTTGCACCAGACTCTTGCACGACGCCCTAAGATGAGACCCAGCGTAACGTCGACGGAGATGGTAATGCTTACGTCGGGCCCAAAAATACGTTGAGCCTTGACTATGCGTGGTCCTGCACATAGCTAGCGTGCCTCTGATGAATATGCGGCATGCCCTACCACTGGCAGGTAGCATGCTGGTACAGTAGTTACTACATTGGATGGATGCTGGCCTGGAGCCCCGGGCCGGGTCAGCAGTAATTAAGACGCCTGTTTGTGATCAAGCCTGGGCTATGCAAGCAAGGCTTGAAAGCAAGGTCCGATTCTAGCTGGCAGCAGGACCTGCTGCGCATACAGTGAGGGTTGCATTGCTGGGGAAAGCTCACCCTCCGACAGACGCCGCACCACCAAAACAGAAAGAAGGATGAGGGGAAACCCAGTAGCATCAACAAGGAAAAGATGGCAAACAGTCCAAAACTTGATGGGCGTACACGCTGCTCCTGCTTGACTGGACAGGCCGCCACACATACGCCGTCACCGCCGCCGCTGCGCCGCTGCCGCCGCCGCCGCCGCCGTCGCCTCCGCCGCCACCACCGGCACCGCCAATTGCTTGTCCGACGCCGCTGCTGGTGGCCGCCGCCGCAAGAGCCTGTTCAGCACCCGCAGGAGCCAGCCCAGCAGTGCGCCAACCAGCGACACGAGCCACGTGTTGAACCGCACGGGCAGCAGCAGAAGGCCGCTCAGGGGATTCAGCAGCCAAAATGCAAGACGTACGAGCTGGCGGCTGCGGCGGCCAAGGGGGAAGAGCGCATCCAGCACCTGGCGGGCCGCAAGGCGGACGTCCCGGGGCGCGTAATGCGGGGGACCTGCGGGGTGCATGCATGCAGCGTGTGTGCGCGGGGAGCCGGTCAAGGGATGTGAGCTACGGGCAGCGAGTGCGGCGCATCCGTTTGGGCGATGCGAGTGCAGGGGCCGAGCCGGCATACATGTAGAGTGGCAATGCAAGCAAGAGACTCCTCTTCAAGACAGGGCGCACCCTCCAGGTGCTTGACCCTTACGTTGCGTCAAAGCCGGACCACTTACCCCTTGACGCCAGGCTGTACAACTCGCTCTGCAGCCGCAGCCGCGTGGTGACGCCTAGACCACGCACCCGGAGGGTCGGCCCTAGTGCAATCAGTGTGCGCAGGTACGACAGCAGGCCCTGGGGCGGGATGTGGTGGATGAGGTTGGACGGGGGTCACAAGTCTGTTCGCCAGTACGACCAGTGGCATCTACGAGGTGTACCACAGCCTGCCAGGCGCCTCGGCAGCAGCTCACCAGCTCTGTGTCTGCACGGCGGCGGAGGCGGCCCCGTCAAGCGACCACCACCGCATCCGCCTGGGCCCGAGCTCACCCACCTGCTCCGACTTAACCCGTGGGATGGTGTCTGTGATCTCTGCCACCACAAAGTCTGTGCCCTCCCCAGGGGTGTGGCCGCCCTCAGCCAACGTGTGAGAAGCTGAAGGGAAGTCCTCCAACAGCTGCCGCACAGCCTGGGGAACACGGCACGCCCATCGTCAAGAAAGCGGTGGCAGGCAGTGCATAGCAGCAACATGCATGCATGTTGCATGTTGCGCGGCGGGTATTCCACTTGCTGCACCGCGACTTTTCCAACACAATGGTGTGGGGAACGTGCATTCCGTGTGCACAAAGCGGATGCCTCTGCAATTGCTGGAAGCTTCATGCTATCAAACACAGGACATACAAGTAGAAAGGAAAACTGTGAGGTATCCACCTCCGCAGGCTCATAGTAGGGCAGGTATGCCGCCGCCACCTTCAGGACCTCCGCCCTAGCCTGCGCGGGGAGCCCATCCAGCGGGCCCCTGTTGGGCGCAAGCGCGATGCCCTGGGCCACAAAATCGAACAGCGGCTGGAATCGACGGGAGCCGCTTTGAACATCGCCCAGAAACAGCTGACGGCAGCCTGCCGGGTGGTGAGTAATTGGGCCCAGGGGGGGGATGTGTGAGCGGATGCTGTAACCAGATGTCACGGGGGCTCTTTATTTTGGCTCGAGGATGCTACAAGAGGCGGTGTGAGCGGTAATATGCCTGGAGGTGATGCCAACATCGAGGAGCAGGGAAGCACGGCGCCACCTGGTCAACCCCCGCTAATCTAAGCGTCGCAATACCATGTAGCGTGGCAGGCACAAAGGTTTGGCATCTCAGACACTCATAGACAGGTATAATCTCTGATGGCATCAAGTAAACACTTCTTGCAACGACAAAACAGAACTTGACAGGCATACAGCACGGTGGGACAACCACGCACCCAACATGAGCACGTGGACGTGCTTCTGCCGCTGCTCGATGCCGCCGGCTTCTGGCCGCAGCAGTAGCCACCTATGCAGCAGCAGCGCGAATATGGCACCCACGATGGACTGGCCCCACAGGCGCTTGCAGAAGTACAGCAGCGCGTCGGCCGCGTTGGTGTCCTGAAGGATGGGTGCGCGGGGCGTGTGAAATCGCACGGGCTGCAAAGAGGATAGTACCAGCCCACCATAGAAGGGATCGCTGCCAGCCACGAGGGTCTGAGGCGCTTGGGTTGCCCGCAAGCGCTGAGTGACAAACTAGGACAGGCCGGTGACCAACAATCGGGCAGAGGGCCGGTGATGTGATGAAATCTAATATTCTTGCCGGTGCGTCAGCTGTGAGGTGAGATCACGGCCACACCTGCAGGTAGTATGGAGCCAGCACTTGATAAAAGCTGACGTCTTCGTGAACACCCAAGCGCTCTGGAAATGCAATTAAGCAACCGCACCCGCAGGGGTGACTCAATGTTATTGGCGTGGTTTTGAGTTGTGCGAAAGGGACAGACAGCCATGTCCTGCCAAGCCAACAAAAGGGCTCCTGCGGGTAGCAGCAAAGTAAAGGTTGCCACGCAAGCAGGCTGTGGCGCTCCAGCAACTCCAGACCCTGCACCGCTTGAACGTGGCGGGGCCATGGTGAAGAAGCCGCAACTCAGAGCTGACCGCGGAGGGGCCGAGGCAGCCCAGCTTGTCTTCGCGACCACTCACCACGTGCGGCGGCATCGAGTCGCCCGGTGACGTCGCAAAAGACTTCCTCGCACACAATCTCCCGATCCTCCTTGTTTTCTGCCTCGGTGGCCTGGAATGGCAAGGCGCCAGGCCAGCGAGTTGCAAGGTTTCGGTGAAATGGCAGCGTCAAATGGCAGGCAGGTCTGAGATGCGCAGCTGGCGCGTGCTGGGCTGACATATTCGTCTCTAACCACGCGGTGGTCCTGGAGCCAATGTAAAAACGGGCATGGTTTTGCTGGGGATAGAAAAATTGAGACCTATTGCGGAGTGCATGTACTGAATGGCCAAGATGTACGTACGCTGTGTACTGGACAGCTTCCTTGCACAACATAATCGCGCAGAGGGGCTGCTCTTGCCAGTCCAAGCTCGCACGCACCCATGCACAAGCATACGTGCACGTGCACTCGCATGTGTGCCAAGCCGCACGCACACACACACACACGCGCGCGCACACACACACACACACACACACACACACGCACACACGCACGCACGCACGCACACACACACACACAGAGAGGGATTTAGGCAGGTCATTACGCACACGCGCACCAGCCGCAGCTTCCGTATAATCTCTCGAGAGACGACTTCCTCCAGGGGTAAAGAGACGTCCACCATGGCCGCTTGCGTCGACAGGCCACCCGCGCCCCTGCCCGCTCACTTCACTGCGCCGAGCACGTGCCGCTGCGATCTTAATTGACGGGCCTCCAAGCGTGGCCGATTATGCCCCTGCTCTGCAAACACAGAAAGCGCCGGCTTTGCTGTTGCTGTTGCTGCCGCTGCTGCTGCTGCTGCTGGTGCTGCTGCTGCTGCTGCTGCTGTGCGTTCGCTGCACATACGTTGCCGTCGATGCAGCGCCAATTGGCTGGCAGTTCTTAACCACCCACAATTGTCTGAACGGCTCAGCAGCCTGAGATCAGGCCCAAGTATCGAGCACGGGTGCGATGAGAAGCTTGGTGTAAGCGGCCAGCACGGCCACAAATGCAATGGAAACGAGGCCGTATATTTCGTAATGCATGGTTCAGGGCGCCTACGAGATTGATCTGCAGGGTCTGCTTTGCCACGCACGGGTCTGCTTTGCCACGCAGGAAGCCCCTAAGAAGTTTCGGTAACGCTTTTTTATCCAGGGCTGAGATAAAATAAAAGTATACCTCATTACCTTGGAGTCGTAGTCGGCCGTCACCGTCTCACCGGGGATCAAAGGAGCAAGTGTGCGGCAAGCAGCGGAGTGCTGAGACATCAATTATCACCATCCATGCACTGTTCAGGGGTGTGACTCGCCCGATGCTGGTGACTGCAGCGCCGCCGCACTGCCATGCGCCAGACTACGGTACCGCCTGGGTACCGCCTTCAGTGACAGCTGGCAAACTGTACGGTAGGCTTGACTTGGCACAATGTACCCCGTCCAGGGTTTCTGAGACGATACAACTCATTTGCGCGGGCCTCAGCCCAATTGTGTCGCAGACGAGGCAGCAATGCAATGCCGAATGACAGCGACGGGTACGCCTTGTCGCTGCTGATCAGCATGAGGCACATATTCCCGCTTGCTTGCGCTACCCATATTGGCTGTCGCCCCGTGACTCGTAGCGGCTGCCCACGGGGCGATGCCTGCACCTGGTGCCAAATACCACGCATAATCACTTGGAAACGATCACCCGCAGGTCGCATGTCCGAGATTCTCAACAACGGTTTGGAGATGATTCGCAGGCTTGCATCGTCCTGCCCCAGGATGGAGCGCTGTGTCATCAGCATACAACAGCGCGTGCATCAGGCCTCTGCCAGGCAGGTTCTTTCCATGCCGACCGAGGGCCCCCGCCCGGCCAGCCACGCTTCAATCCGATCAAAGAACAGGCTGACGAGAGGAGGCGGAGAGCGGGTCTCCTAGCACCAGGAGACGTTTTGGACTTGTAAACCACAGGTGCTCGCAAGCAAAGGGAGTGCTAAGGAGACCATCTTGCTTAGGCCGCACCCGCACGTCCAAATACATGATGTACAGGGTCTCAAGCACGGGACCAATAATGACTGGCGAAGCGAGGAATTTCTGCAACTGTGTGCGAGGGAGGCTGCTTGTCGTATCTATCTCCAAGTACGTACAGGCGGCGACCACGCGACGGGGGCGACCAGGGCACAGCTATACGCGGTCAATGACGTACGAGCCGCAGCACTCAGGCACGGTCTGCGGCTCAGAGGGTGGCTAGAAACAGCAGTGCTGTCGCTGTTGTTGCTTCTGCAGGCTTTGGCATTGCCAAATGGTTGGGCGCTGCCTGTGCGGCGCCTTTTCAAGCACTGCTGCTGCCTTGTGGTGTCTGTACGTCAGCTTTCTCAAAAGCGTCACTCCGAGGAAGGCCAACTTTCTGGTACCGTTTCATGTAGATTCAGCCACTGCGGCTATCAGCTTGGCATTATGTGAGCTCTGCCAAGGGCTGACCAGGGGCTGGCTGGCTGGCTGGGGCTATGTGCCAATGAGCCAAGGCTCACAAAACTACAACCTACATGTTTCTTTCCGTTAGCTGAACTACGCATCCATCAATACATCAAGAAGCATAACATAGCGCAACTTGCTTGGTTGAGTGGTTGCCCTCAACGGCCACTCCCGCCCGCCCGCCCGCCCGCCCGC